AATTGTAAGTTTTTTGGTGCTTAAGGCTATCTTTCACTGTGTTTGTACAGTGTGCTGTACAAGGGGGCACTTATCTTAGCTGGGACAAGCTCAACTACTGGCTTTCTAGGTAAATTTAGGAAAATTGCTTCACAGTATCTATGAAATAGGGAAACTTACACTTATATATCACTGTATACTAGATATATCACTTGTTTATCACTGTTATATATCCCTGGGATCTTTGGACAAAATGTGATAGAAAAGAGCTGATGGTGCTGAAGTAGTAACTTTCAGGCAACCAGGGCTTATACCAGCAGTGGCCCCACACTGTTCAGGTCACAACAGTGTGAACCACAGGTGCCCCCTGGCTACACTGTGCCCAGTAGACACCTTCAGCTCTCTGGCTATGGGCTCCCCCATTGGACCACACTGCTTGGGCATCCCAAGGCTGTGGGCCTTTCTAGTGCTGTGGTCTGCAGTGCATCACCCTGCTCCATGGGGTGGAGGTAGAAGCAGAAGCTGGAGGAAGGAGGAAGAGCCCAAAGCCTGTGGCCCATGACTTGCTTCAGCCAGAGTGATGGGGCCAGGGGGAAACAGTGGCTGGGTGGGAGCCTGAGGATCACAAATTAACTTAGTGATCCTCATACAGCCTGCTGGCCACCAATTAGACAGCTCAGAGGTAGCATACTAATGCACAGCTGAATCTGAATGCTTCTGGAGCTTGTATCTATGCATTGTGGACATAGATATACATACTACCCTGGGTTCCAATACAGTCCTATCTTTATTAAAGCTTCTTTGTTGAACTTCCTTACTATCTCTTTGCTAGTCCTGTTCTTGAGCTGTCATGCTAGCTAGCTGCCTGTCAGCTCTATTCCTATGTGTAAATCATGTGCTATTTGTTCCTTCTGCTACAGTTGAGTTAAACTGTCATCAAAGATTAATCATCTAAAACCAAGATTCCAAATGGCTGGGAACAAATATAAACCTTAGCAATTCCTTTACCTTTAAAAAATATATATTTTAAGACTTTTTTAGTCTAAGGCCTTTCTGTCTGGATCTCCCTCAGGCATCTTCAACATTTGAGAGAAACAGAGATGCTGGCAGTTTAAGTTATCATATACATTCTGTGAGGTCCACAATCTTTCTCTTTAGAAGGAGCTGTTAGTGCCCAGTCCTGTGAACGGTTCAGCCCGCTCTGCAAGCTGAGGACATTCAGATCTGAAAGACTTGCAATTTACCACAATCTAAACAGTCTCTTTAAATTGTCGCTATCAAGAAATCTGTTCTAGTAATTATTACATATTTGACAGTAGTAGAAAGACCTCAGCCAGGATCAAGGTGCCATTGTGTGAAGTGCTGTGTGTGTGCACATGCACACACACACACATACACAGAGCCATAAAATCATAGGGTTACCAGGTGCATGAAAGGTACGTAGTCCACCCCCGCTAGTCAACTATAACTAGCACTTATGTGCTAAATGGGCTAGACAGACAAACAGTAAGAGGAGAAACAGTGGCACAGAGAAGTGGACAGATTTGCCCAAGATCACAGAGCCAGTTAGTGGTAGAATTTGAAACAGCATGTGGAAATTAAAATTTTCAAAGCACCTACGTGACTTAGGAACCACAATCCCATTTTCAAAAGTAGGACCATGTAATGAGAAGTTTAGTGGGGGTTAGGCTCCTAGGGCACTTTTTAAGTAGAACTCTGTCTCCTAAATCACTTAGGCACTTGAAATTTTTCTCTTAGGTTTACCATCCTCTGGATCACACTACAGTGAACAGATATGTAGCCCCACTGTCGGTCCTTGGTGTATCTCCACAGTATTTCATCTGAGTCACTGGTCTTAGCATGCTACCCAGAGTGGTCATTCCCTTTTCAATGGCTTTTACAGCAGAAGGAATCCATGCCCAAGCCAAGATGGACCTTTTTCCCATTCAGTTGTTCTGTTCTAAAACCACTAGGTGGGAGTAACAGTATATTTCAATCACTTTTTCCTTTAGATATTCCTGAAGTAGCACAATGTGGTACTTCAAATGCGGACTAAATGGTTTTACTTCTAAAACTTCTAAAAATATGCTGAAATTTGAATGTAAAGGAGTACCATGCCATAGTTAAACTAAATATACTAAAATAAATCCTACAAGAAAACAAAACATAAGTGTTCATACACATCAGCTTTTAGTGATGCTATCAATGCACATTTGCTGTTAGCTATCATTTATCACTTTCTCCCATTTTCTCTCTCAGCTGTTCCTGTGGGTTCATTCAGAACTTTCAGTTGCTTTGCCTTTACTTTTGAAGGATACAAGAAAAAATATATGTCTTTATTTTCATTTCACATTCATCATATACTGTTTGGCCACCAGGGATGAAAAAAGAGAGACCTAATCCACATTGCCCTGAAAAGGAAGTTCTACTCCACAAGGACCTTTTTCATGAGCAATCCATTTTCCCCAGAAGGTTATATGCACTCTACTGTTAAAAAAGGTGAAAACCCTCTTTCTTAAATGGTAACTTAAAAAAGATCAAAATCTTAATCTCTGTTAAAATATTAGAGTCATTATAAAGAATAGGTTTAAGGCATCACAGCCTCAGATCAGCATCTGTATCCAAACCTGAAGTTTAAATGTGACTGGAGATGGGATTTGGCTTAAAACTGGTTAAAAAGATTAAATGTTTTTGTTTTGCAGCCGAAAATCTATTTTTTGACAAAAAATATTGTTAGATCCCCTAATATTCAGAAAAAAATGAATTGGGTTTCTGTGTGACATGTTTCTTCTAAAATTCAAACATTTTTACTAGGTCTACTTCCATTTCAGATTAGAACCCATGCATGCAGTTTGTATCAGTGTAAACACAGCCCAAAACTTGGGATGAAGGATTCATGCTAGGAATTTTGGTTAGGGTGTACTGCTGGGGAATGATTACAATAAGTATGTGTATTTATTTGAACACAGAGGTGTTTACGTATTCCATAGTTGTGAAAATGTTCATAATGCACCCTCTCTGCTCCTCCTACTCCCACTAAATCCATTAAGCTTAACTCATTTAGGGTTTCAAACTTCAACAGATAGGTTGAAATGTTTGCATCAGTCCATACATTTTTTGAGTGAACCTGGGTCTATTTTCAAGTTGGTCCCAAACATGTTTCAAGCAAAGCAAGGACACAATTTTGTGTAAGCATCAGTCATCTGAATAGGAGGTTCATGCAATTTTGATGCAGTGACAGATAACATGGTATTTTCACTAAGACTTCTTGCAAGCTGAACACAGCAAATTTGTGGGACGCCAACACACACAGGTCAAACCCGAAGCTCATGTTAGTAGTGGTCTGAATATACTGATGATTCTACCAAACTAATTGATTTCTACTGCAGCTGCATATGCTGCAGGCTACTTTCCAAGCCAACATCACTGGGTGTAGTGCAGAGGTAACTGGGTGAAATGCTGTTACGCAGGTCAAACTACATGATCCAATGGTCTTTTTTGGCTTTACAGTTGATAAATCTATTTTACTCCGAGCCCATCTGTATTTACATGCTTATTTCTGCAACAATGACCCTTTCTCCTTTAAGGCAATTTCCCTGCAATGATCAGCAGCAACTTGTGGTTCAGGAGCAATGAGGGTGGTGAAATAAATTCCCTACATTACTTATCCTGTTTTGAGCTGGGGTGAGGGAACCCTTGCCTCAGAGCCTGTATGTGCTCAGCGTGGGGTGTCCTCAGGCTGAGGTGACACTCTACTCATCCCTCTAAGGGGCTTTGCTGGAGCATCAAGGGATTCCCACCTGGAACAGGGAAGGGGCAGGAAGCAAGGGAGGAGGAGGTGGAACAGCTGCAGCCTGTTGAAGTGGTGGCAAACAGCTTGCCTGGCTGGCTACCCTGGGGGTGGGAGGTTCCTAGCTCAGTAGCAGCAGCAGCAGCAGTCCTGACAGTAACTGGGCTTAATGCCTGGTAGGGACCATGAGACCTGTCAAATCAACTGGCTCTGGGCTCCGAAGCCTCCTCAGTTTATTGGTAGGTAAACTGCATAGATCCTATTGCTAGAGTCTGCATACAATGCAACGTCAAAGAACTATTAAGAGTACTGCACTGTGGTGCTATTGCTTATTACTGATGGCTCCTGATTCATTCTATTTGACTAATATAGAGAATAATAATAGCCAAATACATTGAAATAATTGATTATACTCTACTCCACTAATACAGAGAAGACAAATAGCAGAATCTCTTAAAATAATATATTGCATTCCAATAACATATAGAAAAATAATAAAATATGCTATCCTAATGTATTTCATTCTATTTTACTCATTTATAGAATAATAATAGCATAATACATTAGCAGAATGCATCCTACTCTATTTATTCTATTCCCATCATGTATAGCATAATAGTAGTAGAAAACATGAGAATAGGTTCTGTTCGTTTTCTAGTATACAGAATAATAGCAAACTGTTTTCAGAATATATTCTACTAATATAATGTAATGTATCCTGCTGCTGTGTACCCAGTGTCCATTAATAATGAAACTTTTTCATGCTACTGAATAGGTTGATTAATAAAACATATTGTTATTAAAGCTTATATTTATATAATATGTTATCATATGTGTATATTTAAAATATTAACTATTTAAGATATTAAAAAGAGGTTCTAAATAGAAACTTAAGAGATTTAACTACAATGAAGAGAGGGTTTGAAGGGGTTTTGAAATGACACAGTCTAACTGCAGATGCTACTATAACCCTCAGCTGCCTCTTCTTTATAGGTTGCATTTTCTGAGTCTCCCTCATTGTTTTATGAAGGTTTTGGGGGAGAGGGGAGCAGAATAGGGCTAAAATCCATCTGTGACCTAGTTTGTGAGCATTAAGGTTATTCCTGGCTGTCATCTTTGTTCCAGAAAGCTGAAAAGCACCTACAAAATATGTCAGGTTTTGTTTGTGCATTTTTTAAAATAAAAGTATGGCAGACTTTGTATAGGGGGAAAATATCCTAGGTTTTTATAGATGTATCTGTTTGTCTTTCCACGGCAGGTGTTATTAGCGGAGGGATGGCATGATCTGGATAACAAAGACTATGACTGCTGGCCCTTAGAAAAACCAGATGAGTATAACATGCTGGATTGCGGAGGTGAGTGTGTTGTACAGTTATTCAACAAAGTCCATATCTCTAGCTGAGGGAAGAGATGACAACTTGCAAATAAAGGAAATAAAATAATCCCTAATGCATGTCAGGTCTCTTTCATGAAGGGAACTATTTGAGTCAATAGCAACATTTCTTCCTAGATGAAGGAAAGAGGCCAATTCACTTCATAATAAATGTTTGTTTGGAGCTATTGATTTGACAGAGTACCTGTGAGGGGGATTTGAAATCAACAGAAATCATTTCAACTAATTGGGTTTAATCAAGGAATTTTGTTTCACTCAAGAAAAAACAAAGCCGCCTAAATAAAAGAAAGGAGACAATCAGCCCTGCATTGGAGCAGATTGTTTAATTGTGAAGTTGCTGTACTTTTGCAGAACCAGTTCCAAACCAGACTGTATTCATTTAAACACTCTGGCCAATAAGCAGAGTCTCTTCATCTGTATTTTAATTGAGATCTGTGTAAGGACTTCAGGTCCAGGTTTCAAATAGAACTGAAAAGATTTAACGTGTTTGCATTCGTATCAAACTGCAAAGTCTGAAGAGTACTGATTATAAACTGAACCTTCCATAACCTGGTGAATTTAGCAGTTTTCTGTCCAGGATTAAAACAACTAGTTATGACCACAACTGATTTTGAATTGGCTACTAGTGAGCGGTCATGTCAAATAGATACCAAAGGAAACAAAAGAAGAAAGGTTTTTATTTTGTTTCCCCCGCCAATCCCATTATGTCTGAAGCTGCTGCACTACCATGCTCCCATTTTACCTGATTTTAGAGCAGTTTGCAGGCTACTGTTTATATAAGATACCATTGCCAGCTTGTATAGGCAGATGAAATTCAGCTAGGGACAAATATTATGGCTTTTTTTTGCTATATATCAAAACCTTTACCCTTGTTTTGCTATGTGTTTAAGCATGTGTGAATAGGGTAAAAGGACAGAATCTGCTTTTTTGGGAATCTATGAAGGAAATAAACTGCTTTGAGAAAAATAAAAGCTTCATTTATTTTGACCTTTTATTGCTTGCAATCAAACATAGCAAATATTTCACCTTTTAATAATTGGTGAAAATATGGCTAGATTGGAATGATATTTTAAGTGTAGCCTTGTTTTGTTTTGCTGAAATCGTTATTCATGGTCGGATTGTTTGTTTGCTTTTCTATAGCATTATATGCCTTAAAGGATTATTGCTGTTAAAATTAGCACCTTTTGAAAAGGCAACTGTGTGCAAGAAAAAGCAGCTAAAGTCACCAACCATGCAGCAAAAAAATGTTCTAATCACTAAAAAAGATACTAAGTTTGTCCTGCCAGCCTTTGTTGATATAAGTGGTCTTATTCAATCATGGGGGGGAAAAAGGGCTTCAAGAAGCCATCTAAGTCCAACCGCCTCATTCAGGGCAGGGTCCTGTTGTATAAAGCCTCCCAAAGTAAATGCTTGTCCAGACTGCACCTAGGCAAACAAAGTTCATTGGGTAAATCTGATATATTTTATTAGATCAACTCAAAAAGTTGGAAAAAATCTTCTTTGCAAGCTTTTGGGAACAAATACCTTTTGTCAGGCTGAGGAAGCATCTGCCAATGGTCTGTGCTTTTCCTAGATGGAATAGTAAAGAAGCCAGAGGCTGGTATGCAGGCAAGGAAGGCAGTCAGTGAAGGTGTAAATTGAGGTAGTCAATGGGTGAGAGACAGGTGGGGAGGGGAGGGGAGGCGGGGAATGAATATAGCTGGTAAATAGTAGAGAGGTTACCTGGGGAGTCAGATGTTAGGCAGGTTATAATGTGTCATAAATCCAATGTCGGTATTTAGTCCATGACTTTTTGTATCTGGTAGGTTGAGGAAGTGAAGTTCATAGGCTCATCTGTGAAAGGTGTTTTAGCCTGCACCTAAAACATACAATGCCAGAAATACCAAAACCTCTCTGGGTAATGTGTTTCAGTGCTTCACCAAGCAGTGTTAGAAAGTTCATCCAATTATCCAACCCAAGGGTGCTCAACGTGGCTTACAGCCCAGATCTGGCCCATGCTGTCATGTGATGTGTGTTGTATGGCTCCCCAGGAGTCTGGAAATTTGGTGGCAGAGGAGCACGAGCAATTAACACTGCCACTATTCCCCCACTGCCAGATAACATGGCCCCACACACAGTGTAGTGATCACTAGGTTTAGTAAACACAGGCATACAATAATGAGAAAAACTACACAGCAAGTTTTTTTTTCTGGTGCAGTGTGCAACTGTTGTAATCCCAGTATGGCTCTCCTGAATAACTGGCTAGGCTGCTGCTCTATCACTAAGGGACTGTCCCCCAATTCTCAACTCCTTCAGCTTCCCTTTAAGAAGCATCTCTAAATTCTACTTTCTGTCACTACATTTTCCCTCTTAATAAGTAAAAAAAAAAATTAACACAAAAAGCCACTAATACCCATCTACAGAGACAAGATTACTGGAACTTCACTCTGGAGTCAGTCTTTACCACTCACTTTTCTTTTCTACAGCTATTTTAACAAGTCTCTATGAGCCTTTCAGGAGATGTTACTGTCTTCTCAAATCGAAGAAATATCTTATCTAGTTTTTATTTGTTTTGGTGGGAAGCTTTTCCTCCAGGTCTTGATAGACTTGAATCCTTATACAGGGACCTGGCTGACTGGCACTTTGGCACCCGTGCTTCTGCACATAGAACAAAGTTCATGAGCTACAGACCACTGAGGCTGATTTCACCTTTCTGTATACTAGTATTTGCATTTGTTTCCATAGGTACATTTCTTCCCCTAAAGACATAGTTGCTTCTTGTGTTCTGGAACAATTGGTTTCTTCCTAAGGAAGTTGTCCAGATTTGGGTCATGATGGCCAAGAGGATGACCAGAAGGCACAGATGCTGTGCCTTCTTCTACTGCAACCACACACTTAACCAGATTCAGTTTCTCACAGGCTACCTAATCCAAAATTGGTGTCACTTCCTTGAATACTATGAGTGGGAGTTTGTATGCTCTTTTTTATATTGGGTGCTGGCAATATATCTTCCTTTCACTAGTATGTTTGTTCCTGAATAGCCTACTCTTTTGATTTTTGTTGGACTCATCTTTGAGCTCAAATTTAAACTTCTACATCTGTGCCCTGGCAAAATATTAACCTGAGCTTCCTTTTTCTTTCATTGGCAAATCCAGTCCTTCTCACTGATTTTTGCTTAATTCAACTATATGTATAAAAAAAGTCCTTCTTCACTCTGCCTACATAGGCATTCAGGGAAGTTAGGAACTGTTTAGATTGCATTAAAAATAGACACCAGATCTAACTTAGTTTGCCCATGTGAGGACCTTACGCTTATATCCCTGGTTAGGTTGACCTAAGTGTGAACTGTACAGATATCCCATGAAGGTTAGATTGATCAGAAAATGGCCAACTGGATCTAATTTAACTGTACCTCAGAGATGCACTAATTTAGATGAGGTACAAGTAAACCGATCTAACTGAAGTTCGGTATGCATTCAGAGCTCAGTCCCAATTCCCCCCACCCTCCCTGCAGACCCCTCTAACCCACCCCATCCCCCTACCCCCCTGTAGACTCTGC